CTCTCTTTCTCTCTCTCTCTCTCTCTCTCTCTCTCACACACACACACACACACACACACACACACACACACACAATCAGAATCAGTTTCAGCCCGGTCCTCTTCGGCTTTCTGAAAGGGCCGGAAAATAGTCAAAAAATCCCCAAACATTTTTTTTGGATGTGGGCCATGAACGAACCGCCCCCCCCCCAAAAAAAAAAAATTAAAAAAAAAATGAATTTTTTTTTCCTGACCTACCGGACCGGACGTCCGCCCGGACATCTAGACGCGGACAGTCCGGAATGGGTTCCGGACGTCCGGACGGTAACCATGCTTCTAAGGCTTTAGACACATCCAACGAACAGAGAGTCATTTGGTCGAGATGTGTCTGGGGGGTGACTAAATAGTCAATAGCTTCGGCCAGCCTTTGAAAGTGGTGAAGGTATACCAACCACTTCGTCTTGAGTGGAAGCAGCTATAACTTCTATTGCCCAGATGTGTTTCCCGAGTTCGTGCTTGTAGATGCACCACTCGGAGCAGAAGATCCCCCAAAACCACCTTTGAGTGCGATCTTGTGAGGAACCTTCACATTCTTACACTTAAATTGCTGGTGACCATACTCACCGCAATTAGTGCAAGCCCCTCGCGAATATCGATCCCTCCACACATCTTGGTCCAGACCAGCCCTCACCCAAGCTGGTGTTTGGGTTGAGTTTTGTGTCCACCCCCAACTCTTTTGTTGACCATCCTCTTGCGGTCAACTGCCTTTCCTTTTGTTACGGCGGCGAGGTTGCTACCCTTTGCACTCTCCTCGCTGCCCACCTCTATGTCCTCCACAAGTTCAAAAAAGTGGCTGATCTCGGTTTGGTTCCCTTCAGAATCCACCATCGTCTAGTGACTTCCCTTCTTCTTCCCCTCTTGAGGAGGCTTCTTCTTTCTTCCATCCACAACTATCTGTTGAGCCCCTCCCAACCTTGCCTGTAAGTCTAAGGCCTTGTTGCTGAAAGTCTCAAGGGTGTGATACTCAATGCTTGCCTCACGAACCAACAGATTCTTGATATCTGTGGGAAGACATCTCAAGAACATGGTTAGGAGAACCTGGGGATCATAACTAACTCCCGACACTACTACCAGTTTCTCTACGGCACGAGTGAGCTCCCGCACAGTCGTGTACTTCCTACTATCAAGACGGGCCAACACATCAATGGTTTGCTGAGCCTGCGGAGGGTTGTGCCACCATGCCTCAATTGAGTCCATAAAGCTCTCTAAAGTCTGGGTTTGCGCCAAGTCGTTCATTCACCTGGCAAAGCCCTTTGTTGTTGTATACCCATTCAACCATCTTGTTGTCGACCCTTCTAAGTAAGAACCGACAGTGATCACTTCCTCCTCGCGCAGTGTACGCTTGGCTCTTACATACAATGGAGCCGCCCTCAACCAAGTGTCGAGGGCCTCATCCTCCTCGTCTCCTGTGAAAACGGTCGGGGGTTTGATTGGGGTCTTTGGATACCAAGGTTGCTGGGGTCAGGCCGGTGACTGAACCGTCTGCTGCCCTGAAGCTGCGGCAGATGGACTTGAAGATGAAGAAGCTACACTTTGTGCTCCTGCTGCTGACGTACCACCTACTGGGACACCAAATTGCGGAACAAAGGGGCCTGATATCGTTGGTAAAGGGACCGGCGATGTGTAGACTGGCCGCGTCTTGATACTTGGCCCGCTTATGGAGGGTAGTGGTCCTCCCCTCCCTGCACTGCTCTCAGTGTCTGGAAAAGGGTTGACTGGATTTCATCCTCAACTTCTTCCCCCCGATCCCGACTCCCCCACCTTCATCCCCAACTACGC